ACCTGAGGGCGGTGCACTAACTCCTGGACAAGGGTCACAAACAAGAGGCTCCCGGGCCAGGTTCAGCGCTGTGGTTTTGGACAGAACTCATTTTTAAAAAAATTCACTCTGAACGCTCAGCCCCCAGGACTTGGGTGCCCCTTTTAAGCACAGTGGTCACCGCTGCCCTTGGCCCTCGTTGATCAGCTTCAGGTTATGAGTCGCTTGCCCGGGGGACGGGATGGGCTTCTCTCCCATCACTGCTCTCACTTAAGCTTTACGGCATGACAGGAGGACATGAAAACTGGGTGCTTCCTTCTAGAGCAGTCACTGCCGCACAAAGGAGCCCCCTGACGCAGCTAAGAGAGGGGACCCATGGGAGCCTTCCCCACTCTGATTCTTAGAGCTCTGCCCACAGTCTTGTTCCATCCACTTCACAAACTTCCCAAGAGGCAAACCCATCACGGGCGTGTGATCCAAACAGGCTCTCATGAAAGAAAGATTTTAAGCTCGCGAAGCAGTTTCCCAGCCGTAAGTGTGTGGGCCGCATCCAGGCCGGTGTGCTCTCTAAGTGAGGCTGTTTATTTCCCAAGTTCCTGAAGAGACCATTTTGTTTTAATATTAATAATAAGCAGCTTAAATCTGAAAACATAACAGCAATGCACGAAACTTCAATAGAAGAAAATGACCACCTCTGAACACAGTCCAGTCCAGAAATATGTTTCGGTTTGAAGTCCAGCAAACAGTATTAAAAAGCAAAGGCTTCATTTTTGTCTTATTTATATTATGAAAAATGCATTTACCATAGCATTTCTGACAGATATTTTTCCCATGATCCCTGAGAACAAATACTTAGATCCATTAAATATGTAATCATTTTCAGATGACTGTTGAAACAGGCAGCTAAAAGGAAACAACAAAGCCTTATACAATCAAGTGGGAAAATTCATTGCCTACAGAAATTTATCTGGGCAGAATCTTGCATAAAATATGAACTGATTACTTAGATTTCTTTGTACAAAAAAAGCAGAAAGTACTTTTTTCTAGTTGTAACACTGAGTTCTGTATTGATAAACTGGTCGGCCATGTTTCTTCAGCACCCATTGCATTATGGGAAGCCTGCTGTACACTGTGTATGAATTTTTAGGGTGGTGGTGGGGACCTTATTCCCAAGAAACCTGAAGTGCAAGATGAAACAAAGTAATTACCAAGATAAGGATCTTTAAATATATGAGAATGTACATCTATGCCAGGTATATAATCTTAACCTATCACAAGAAACCAAAATGGCTTATTTATCAATGTGTTTAGAAAGTGGTGAGGAATTTATAGACAGGCTTCTGAGGACTTCTCCTGAGAAAGGCCAAATTTGAAAAACTACTTTCCAAGGACTCTGTCCTTTCTGTTACAAGCGTGAAGGCAGCTGGGAGCTCCAACATCTGACTTGGCAGAAAAGGAAATCCAGGAATCCAGGGTAAGATGCTTTGAAGTGATGGTACAAAGGGGCCACGTGGGGAGCGGCTGTCTGAGGGTTCTGAAGGAGAGTGGAGCCGCAGCATGGCAAGGGAGGGACACAGGCTGCCCTCCTTGTGGAGCACGCCAAGAGAGGCAGGAGAAAGGATATTTAAGGTGTTAGCAAAACATGAGAAATGTTCTCTACTACTCTTTAAAGATCCTTGAAAGTCTAAACACAAGTTGCCTTTTGGGTATCTTCAAAAGTGATGCTGCACCCAGAATGGGCCATGCATCAGTTACTTTTCTTGTTGCTGAGACAAAATACCCAAAACCCAAAGTTAAAGGAAGAATGGTTTAATTGTTCCACAGTTGGTAGAGGCTTCATAGTTCACAGTTGGCTGGCTCCAAGGCAGGGTGGCATGGCAGGGGAGCCTTGCAGAGGAGAAACAGCTCACGGAAGGCAGACAGCAGCAAGGACAGGGCTGAGATCGTTTTCCTGCCCCTTATAGCATGTCCAGGCTACCTCCCCTACAGATGGGGAGTATTCACACGCAGGGTGAGGCACCATGGACCCCACCTCGAACTATGCCAAACCCATCCATGACCAACTGGAGTATGCACACACTGCCTTGGTTACTTTTCTCTTCTTGCTGAGGCAAACTACCTGACACCCAAAGTTAAAGGAGGAAAGGTTTATTTAGCTCAGAGTTTGTGGAGGTTTCCATCCACAAGCAGCTGGCACCAAAGCAGGGTAGCATGGAAGAGGGGCAATAGCTCATGGTGATGGAAGACAGCAAAGACAGAACCAAAAGAGAGGAGCAAGCCTTTTTCCTCCCTTACATGGTACGCAGGCTACCAGCCCTAGGGTGGGTCCTCTACACCCGAGGGTCACTTAACTAAGGCCCTAAACTTCTCAGTTCGACACAATGTATCAACCATTGCAAACACCCTGATCCCAGTGGCTCATGCTCTAGACCCACCCACCTCTGAAAAGCCCCACCTATGTCTGCATGAGGCTTTGGGTGGTGATGGGGGACATCTAGACACAACTCGTAACAAGCTACACAGAACTCTAGTTTATACGGAGGTCCCAAACTTTTTCTCCCTGAACTGCCAGTCTCATTTACTAAGTAAACTTCTGCCCTGACTTCAATTTTGGGTGAAATGGAAGACATTGTGCACGTTCTTGGGAAAATTTAAGCACACTCTGATTCTCACAGATGACAATCCAGGGGAGACACTGTCCTTCAGGATACAAAGATAAACGTACACCTTATGAAGGTGTCCATCATTCTTCACGGTGGCCTTGGCTACATCACAGACACACAATGGTCTATATGAATAACTTGAAAAAATTAGACCCCACTAAATGAGAGATCCAAATAAAAAATGGGCAAGAGAAATGAACAGACCCTTCACAGAAGACGTGTGGGCGGTCCATACGCACAGGAAGCAATGCTTAACATTTTTGGCCACTCAAGAAATCTCAGTGTCGGCAAATTAAAGCAACACTGAGATTCTAGCTTACCCCAGAAAAAAAGGCCATTACCAAGAAATCAAATAGTAACAAGAAAGGCTGCAGGAAAAAAATCTTTCTACATTGTTGTGTACAATCAACAATGTTTACTAGTTTACACGATGGAATGTAAACTAGGACACTCGCTATTGAAATCAATATGGAGATTCCGCAGAAAATTAAAACTAGAAAGTCCATTCGACTCACTTATTTCCCTTCTAGGTATATTCCTGAAAGAGTTAAAGACAATGTGTGACAGTGGTACATGTATATCCATGTTTATAACGACACAAACACTGGCTAAATCTTAGAAACAGCTAATACATGTCTATCAGCAGATGAATGGATACAGAAAAACACAGTATGTACACACAATGGCGTACTGCTCTGCCAGAGAGAGAAATGGATGCACCTTGAGACCGTAAAGTTAAGTGAAATAAGCCAGACATACAAGCTTAAAGCTTGTACAGATCCTCTGACATGAGAAACCCAAAGTATAAATAAAGAGCAAAAAAAGGATAGACAATAGGAAGCAGACAAATCTTTGTCAGAGGGGTTGGGGATCAGCTGGTGGATGCAGACTGGGGCGGACAGTAAAGAAACAGCAAAGGAAAACAGGAAGTTAGATGTGCTATGTGCATGCGCCAGCCCCAACAAGGAACGCAAAGAGTAGGTACCACAGGCGAGTACTCATACGGAAAGCAGTCAGGCACAATTGTACACACATATTTTTCCTGCAGCATTTCAGTTTAATCAAGACTGAACTCATGATCTTTTTCTCTTAAGCAAATTGTAAAATTTCTTTTATTCCCCTTTATGGATGAGAAAGTTCAGTCTTAAGGAAGTTGACAAGATTACACCTAGTAAGTGGTTAGGTTGAATTCAAGGTCTGTTTTATTCCAAACTAATATTCTTTTTACTATCTGTTATGAATTAATCTACCTTTTTTTTACTAAAACAAAAGATACCTAATGAATGCATTCACTAAAACCTCAGCCAGTGAGGCAACCATCCCAAAGTTATTCTCCCCAGATTTTCAGAGGAAAAAAAATCATAAAAATCTTAGAAATTAAGTTTACTGAGTTTGATTTTTAAAAAAATGTGACAGCTACTCAGGAGGCCGTGCAGGAGGATCGTTCTGAGTTTGAGACCAGGCTAGGCTACAAAGTGAGCTCAAGGCCAGCCTGAACTGCACAGAGAGACTCTGTTTCAAAAACAAAAAAGTGACATCTAATCAGAATAAACAGACAGATCAATAACAGATTAAGTTATATCTATTTCAATATGCTTCCTTCCTTCTCATCTTAAAACCACACCCTCGTGGCCGACACACCGTGCAATAAGACCTTTCAGACAGGAGTGCAGTTCAGATGTACAGTACTTTCCTTCAGAGCGCCTGATTTTCATTCATCGTATAATAAAATCCCACAACACACAGCCTATAACATCTCACCAGCTGGGGCGGCTGAGGGGAGAACAGAAAATCAGCCACAACAGAAGTCCGCATCCGCTGTGCAGATAGCAGCAAAGCACGTGCCTTTGCCACTGACACGCTAACCACGGGGGTGACAGCACAGGACACGGGAAAGAGGAACTGGCTTTTCTAGGGTTTCTTGAAAAGGGAGGTGACACCAGGGGTTCAGGGGATAGCTGCTTGGAAAGTCAGACTTAGTACAGAGGACAAAAGAGTGCAGAGATGTCCCTCCATTTCCTTTAATGCCTGACATCTAAAAACTCTTCAGTCCCTTGTCTGGAACCCCAGGGGCACGGAGGGACTGCAGCATGTAATCAGTGGCCTAGCACAGCGACATAAAAAGTAAGATCGGCTTCTTAAAGGCTCCTCCAATCCAAAGGAGAAGCGAGGGCCGAGCTGCTTCCCACCACGCTCCCTGACCTCACAGTGAGCCCAGAACAACAGAGGGCTTCAACAACAGAGGCTGTAAAATTCCACACAAGCTGGTGGGCACAGCGTCACACACTTTTCTGGGCAGACAGCTGGGCATGTGGTCCTCAGCGCCCTGGAAACAGCACAGCCGTTGGGCACAGAATGGAAGGGGCCGGACCTGGCCAGGCCAGCGTCCCAGGCTCCTGTGAACGGTGGGAACTGGCTCTGGCGAGGGTGCACTGTCACAGCATTACTCCACTCAGGGCAGCGCTGCAGGACTCAGGGGCGCACACATCTGCAGTGCCAGAGAGGCAAGAGGCAGGCGGCAGGGCAATGCAGAACTGATGGCTGCAGGGTGCTGGTGGAAGGGAGCAGGGCAACTCGGGGGAAACCGAGGCCATGGCACGGGAAAGTCCCTGCCCCACTCTCCACTCCCTACCTCCGCTCCTCACGTGGACATTATCTCCAGTCGTCCCTTCTGGCGCCAGACCCTGGCCCTTCTCTCTCAAGTGAGTTCCAGAGCGCATTCTCTACTGTCTCCCAGAGATCTTGCTCCACGGATGAACAACTTGCTTGTATTTCTGCTTCTCCTTGTCTATGAATTGCTTTCTCCTTAGAAAAATGAGCAGGCTCAAGTCTTTTTCATGTGATCAGAAATACTTTGATTATACAAATGATCCATAAATTCATGGATATGTGCTCAGTAACACGTTTCCAATTATAGGTACAGTCAAGTCTCCCCGAACAGAGTGCCCTCCCCAGCCTTGAGCCTTTACCACTGTTAATCCAGACTTCAGAGTCAGCGTTATTCAGCCTGTGTTCCCTCTGGTGTAGCTGCCCTAGTGTACTCTGTCCTGTGTGGAGAGATTCTGTTTGTCCATGCTGCGATGAGAATGGTCACACCGATGGATCCACGTCAGCATTTTATTCCTGACAGTCTGTACCGCACCCCCAGCAGAAACGCACCATGCTGCGAGCCGGGGCCCTCCGCTCATGGCTGGAGCGCTCAGGGTTTCTCGTCTTGCAGACAGTGCTGGAAAGGACAGTGTTTCTCAGGGCGGTGCCTGGGGGCGAAGCTTCTGCTCTGTCCTCCTAGAAGTTTCTACTTAGCTGGTGCGGCAGATTTCCTTCTTCCTAGTCCCTCACTCCCTCCTGATGTCACCAAATTTTTATTTTGCCAGTTTAATGAGGGAAAGCAGCACCGTGTACTGTAAACTCTTACTTATCTATTAAATACTATTAAATATATTTTCATATCTTAGATTTCATGTGCACATTATGTATTCTTTCATATGTGTATTTTTTCTTCAGAGTTCCTTACATGGCCTTTGATTTACTTTGTAATGGATCAATGGATTATTTTTGTTATTAATTGTGAGGTTATTTCTATTATGAATACTGAAATGCTTCATATTTTCTCCCACATAGCAGATTCCTTTTTAAGTTTATCATGGCTTTTGCTGTTCAAAATTTCATCTGGGTGCAATCTAATTTTTATCCTTCATGTTTTTGCATTTTACATCTAATTTAAGTTTCTGTTCTCCAATGTCATAAATGTGTTGTCTCCATTTCCCTCTATTGCTTTACTTTTTATAATTACTCATTTAATTCCTGTTTAAGCTTTGTTAATGAGTTAGAATCAAACGCAGTTTTTGATCAGTGGATAGCTGATTTCTCTGGTACCATTTCTTAAATGATCAATTCACTTGAAATGTTACCTAAATTACAACCAAATTTTCATATCCAGTGGTACATGCATTCATGAATATACTTCTTTCCATGATTCTGGTCACAGACTGACTGGCAGAGAATCTCTCCATCAGGACAACATTGGACCTAACACTGAATTTGATTCAGTTCTTGTCCAATTCGGTTGACAACCAGAATTGTGTAAAGAATTAAGTTTGTGAACTGAGGAATCACTTGTACAATATGTGCGTGTGTGTTTCTGATATACTCATTCTGTCCTATTGATTTATTTGTCCACTAGAGCCAATACCACACTGTTTCAATTATCACAGAGTTATAATATAGTTCAAACTCTGGTAAGATGAGTCTACCCATCTTTGGTTCATCTACAAAACTGTCTTGGCCATTCTTGTGCATTTTCTTTTTGTTGTGAATTTCAAAATCAGTTTTGTCAAGTTCCAATTGCTTCTAATTAATTTAACCACAGAACTCATTTTTGAGAGATTAATGTTCAAAAGAACACACTTCCATGATATATTGGCTCAGTGGCCCCAAGATTTATTTTGTTTGGTCAGCACAATGTTGGTCCATTCATGTTTTTAAAAATGTCTGACACCTATCCGTGAGCCAAAAATAAATACAGAATGTGCAACAGGGTAAGCGTGTGTGGTGGGCTGGCTCCACCTTCCCACGGGCACCTACCGGGTCACACCAAGAGGTGACCCTGTTTCTGTTTACGCAGGCCCTCGGTCCAAGTTCTCTGGTTTCTGAACCCGGCCCATTTCCATCATTTATGCAGCCTGCCTGGATCCTACCCGGCCTTTGTCTCTGAAATCCTGCGCTATTACGACGTCATCTTACGTGGTCTTGTGTGTGTCCAATTCATTCTGTGTCTGCACTGCCATTATAATGATTTTTTGACACAAGTATAACTGATTATTGCTGTGGCTTAAATGATTTGGTGACTTCTGGCTGCTTTTAGGACAAGATCCAATTCTCTTTGCACACCCTAAGGGGCTTTTTTTTATAACCTGGAACAATTTCACGTATTATGTTGCATTATCTCCACATTACTCCTTCTCTAGCTGCTGGGCCTGTGCACAGTTCCCAGCGAGTGTCTGGCAGATCCCTTCCGACCCGAATCTAAGTCCTCCTCTGTAGGGAAGCCCAGTCTCCCCACCGCGCTGACTCACTCTCAGCCTTGGCCAGCTCCATTCTCTCGCTTCACAGTCATTTAATACCTGGATAATTCTGACACCTCTGGCCCTGGTTCCATGTTACCTGCTCTTTAACGCCCCCTCTGAATACAGCACCCCACTTCCTCTCACTCCACCTCTGCACATAAGTGACGGGGGCCTTCTTGTTTACTTGCTGCGGATGGCTGCATCTTTCTTGAGTGAGAAACTGGATGTTAATCAAGCCAGAGTCTCCTAAGACGCGGGCAGGGCGGCTGCAATCTGTGTTCATTCAGTGAAACCCGTGGGAGGGAGAGAAGAGTAGAGAGGAACGGAAGGCTTCATGGATCAATCATCGCCTCCCGACTTGGGATCTTAACTGCACAGAATTGTATTCATTATTTGAAACAACACAGTAAACAGGACCAAACAGCCACACTCTCAGGGAGAGGATGAAATTAACTGTGTCTCGTTTTTTAACAGTTCGTGTGGACACGATCGCGTGGCTGCTTCTCTGACAGAAGAACTATGTAGGGAAATCAAACTTCACCGTTTCCTCTCCGAACCTAACGTTAAGGTTTTTAAGTCTGTCTTGTAATCAATATATTTTTCATTTTCATTTCCAAAATACTAAAGGAGTTTGATGGAAATAAATGATAAAGAAATGTGAATAGTTCTTTTGTTATTAGTTATCCAGCAGTCTGTAAAGTTACATGCAGTGCTCCAGGATGCATGCCAAAGGATGCTCTTTGTCAAAAGACTGACATTCTTCCCATGTCCTGAAGACCAAACAGTTATGCCAGCTGTGGCCCAAACCAAAAAAAGTTATCTCACCAGGAAACCTAAACCCTAAAGTCACATTTATAGAGCATTCTTGAATCCTGATTGGTTCCATTTTGGCACTTTTAGCATCTGTCTAGCAGACATGTGTATATACATATAAAACACAGAATTCCAGTCATGTAACATTGAAGTTTCAAGTTTAAACACACAGGAAACTGAGAAGGTATGGTGTTCCTAATAACTTTAACTTATGTTCTTTGTATACGCTATACGTGGTAAGTGTAGACACTAAAAGTTTAAGCACTGATCTGAAACAGAAAAGAACACGTGTCCACTGCCCACAGTCTTCTCCTGCTTTAAACAGGCTCCTTTATTTTAAAAGAGCCACACGCTGATACAATCTGTTTTCCATACACATCATGAATACAGGAGCGTGGAATCGGCCCGTGTCACTTAAATATTCAGGTGGTTTAAAGCTGAAAATTCACACTGCATTAAAAACATCTCTACACTGCATTGAAATGCTATGACTGTTGAAGACATTTTTTAGACCAGAGAAACTATTTAAAAACATAGAAAGCACTTATTTTCAAATTACAAGAAATATAGAATCCTTTCAGGTGAATGTTCTATTAACAAGAACAACGACAAAAATTCTAAGGGACTTCAAGTCTACTTATTTTACGTTGCCTTGTAAAACTCCTATATTACAGAAATTAGAGAAGACATTCTGTTAGGCTAGACATAAGTACCTGCCTCTCTTGAAAGGCATAATTAGCTTCACAAATAAAACGAAAAAGCTTATTTTGTCCTACCAGTACATAACATATTAAGTTTAGAGTTATACATTAAATAATTTCCCTGTGAGTTGAGGCCAAGCATACATATTTCCACCCGAGGGAAAAAGTTCAGAGCAAATGAAAACAAAACCTAACGATGAAGGCCTTAGGCAGGGGCAGCCCGCCAAGCTCGAGTTTAAAAGCCCAGCGTGGTGTGTGGGTCTTATTTGAATGTGCAAGAAAACACTAGGAATCGCTTAAGTCCTACAGTGGGGTTTGCTCTGGAGTTCTACCGAGTCACTCAGACTTTGGTGACTGCTAGAATAACCAGCAGTCTGCTTTTGGTGGGCCCGACCAGACCATCTCGGACAGAGCACACAGTGAACGATAGCCACAGCCTGCCAGGGGAATCCACGATTGCTTCTAATAACTCATTCTAGTATTAAATAATTCTGTCAAGAAATGGTCCCAATATGTCCAGTAAATCCTTTGTGCTGAAATTTAAGCCAGAAACCTGGCCCCAGTGTGCCCTGAGCACGCAGTCCCCTGACCTAGAGGTTACATCGCACCATAAAGACTCAGACAACAGAACCGATTCTCTCTGCGTCTCCCAGCAATCTCCCAACAGTTATTTAAGAGCACTCGGGCCAAGAAAGTGCTCTATAGAGAAAATATATGTCCTATTCTGTTACACTATTTGGGATATCATCTCATTAATCTGGTTTTCTTTCCTTAAATGTGGCTACAATGTTAAGGCCAGAAAAGCAGTAGATCACAGAACAGCCAGGTCCTCTAGGTTGCCACTGCGCTGGTCAGCAGACAGTCAAACGGACTTTTATTACCTGAGTCACAGAAGATCAAGTCGTGGCTGATCAAACTAATTCCACAGCACCTGATGCAGCGAAGCTCTATGTTGTATGACTCAAAGAGATGAAAAGAAGTGGCTTAAATTTGGCCATGAGGAAAACTGGCCCAGCTGGCCAGACTGGGTTTTCCTGTGAGTTCACATACATCGTGTAAAGTGTGCTGTCAATCTCTTCAATGTGTAGATTGGGGAGAATATTTTATAATGACAGCAGATGAGAGGATGAGGGAGGGACGCGGGTTCGTATCGCACGAGAGAGCAGTTTTAGGGGAGAAATCTAAAGCAGTTCACTCAACACGACTAGGCACGTGGACATAATGAGGTGCTGGCCTGGTGCAAGAATTCTCTCTGGTACCCATGTAGGTGGACATGACCTGAAGGGTTGGCACCAGGCAGGCCCAGGTGCCAGTCTGCATGGGCTTACATTCTGGTGAAACTAATTAGAGCTGGAATGAATACCAGTTCTTAAAGAGTAAAATAAATGTGTTACATGACACTTTCCATGGTGCTAAGTGCCATGCATGGTAAGATGTCAGCCTGGAAGGGTCTCGTGATCAGCAGGCCACGGGGCAGCAGTGCACAGGGCCCCAGCCTGCCATCTTTAGGGTGGAGGAGTGTAGGCCACGGAAGGTCGCACAGCCTGGAAGCACTGTTGTTTGAAATATCACTCAGTCTGAGACAATGGTGTAACAATGACCTCTAATTTCCCCACATGATGGCAGCCTTGATTCTGAGACCGAAAGCTGCTGAACTCCCTGCTCATCCTCCGCATCCTGCTGACAGCTGGCTGTGCTGCTGAGAAAGGAGCCCTCACTGCCAGCCCTCTCGTGGCACCTCCCTGCGAATCAGGACACCCAGCTCTGAATGTGGGTTCTCTGAGACACCTTGCGCCACATAAAAATATGTGAAACGTATTTGAATTCGATACATAAAGGAGGAACATGAGCAAGATTCAACTGCTTGAATGGGAGATCTGGAAGACAAAAATAACAGCTGAAAAAGATTTAAGTCCTTTTCCCCGTCACCTGGGGGGGGGGGGAGTAAGTTGGAAAAGCTAGAGAGACCTTCTTGCGTGCCTTTTAAAACTTGGACAGATCCTTTGCCCCCATGTGCAAATTAGAAAGGAAAATCAGGAGTGGTCATCTGCATCTGAAATAATTAGGAGTGATTTCCTTCAATGATTCTCTTTTCAAAAGCAGAATGATTGCTACAGCCTGAGTTCAAATATTATACATGACAATGACGAACCAAGCTACTTAGAGCTTTGGTTGTGGAACCTAAAGAGCCCTCAGAAACCTCTCCCTCTAGAAGGTCTTCCCTAGAATCAGAAGCCCAGTGCACTCCAGCATTCCTGAGATAAGGTCCTTCAGTGTTTGCTTGAATACTTTCTGTGACAAGGAGCTCACCACCTTGCAAAGCAGCCATTTGCTTATGGTCATGTTTGGCCAGGTGAACTGCTGTACAGACTTTCTGCATCCAGAAACGCAGGCTGCTTGACGGTGACTTTCCCTCAGTGCTGCTGCTCAGGGATTCCAGACTAAATTAATGTTCCTCTAAACCTCTCAACTAAGGAACACATAGTCAAACTCTCCACTAGAATTTTAAGTAATATTTAATATCAGTTTCAAAGTAGTAGCTTAATTAGGTGAATACTGTATTTAAGGCCCATTTTAGGAGTGAGAGATGGCGTCCTCTAAAAATAAAATGTATTAGGAAAACGTTTTTTACATCACAAAAACTACTGCAGCATTTAGTGCTATGAATTCTGAGTGACTTCATATCGTGCGGTTTTTATTTTAAAGGCTGACTTGATTCCTTTTCCAAAACTACTTATCTATTTACTCCTACTTAACACCTGTACAAGCATTAATGTGTGAAATAAAGGGGAAAATACATTTTCCTGAAGTGTTCGCTCAGATATTATGAGAAGGTGCAAAAACAGGCCCCGGGGGGAAAATAAATGAGCAAATCTGAAAGATCTAACAAAGCAAACCAAATCCAGTGTTTCAAAGGTCATTTCTAAAAGCTGCACAAAGCAGCCACTGTGCACAGGAAGCCCCGCCCCCAAGTCACGCTCCTTCCCCCACAGGCTGGTCCCGGAGGACACAGCTCCAGCACCCACGTGGACAGTCACCGCGGGCTCAGCATGGCACGGGCACAGACGGCCCAGCCTCTCTCCAGAAGCCTCCGCTGTGCTGCCTAACCCACCCGTGCCCCGTCCCTGGGGTGGGGAAGCCCTTCCTCACGTCCAAACATCTCCCACTACGTCTCCCACAGGTCTGTTCTGTTTTTTTTTTTTTTTTTTTCCCTTTGAAGATGTCACCATTCATTCCTAGCCAGCTACTTCAAAAATTTAATTATCATAATAAACTTGTGTTGTTCTGCTGCTTGACTAACATCAGTCATGAGGGGGACTTGGGTTTTGTCCTTGTAGGCGATAGGAAGGCGTGCAGTTCCTGGGAGCAGAGCACGCGCGCTCAGAGTCCTGCAGGGCAGGGTGAGGTGTGCCTGTGCTCCTGGTGACACAGGATGGAGCCAGCAGTGCTGGGGTGGCCCAGCTAGGCCAAGGTGGCCGGAGTGGGTCAAGGCTCAGCACATTCAGACTTGTGGAAAGGGCGCCAGAGACGGTGATGTGCATGCTGTTTGCACCTCTCCCTTACACACAGCTTTGTCTTTCTGAGTGAGCCAGACAGGAGCAAGTTATGCCACTCTGCAGGAAGGCACTGGACAGCATGCTCCATGGAGAAAGCTGCCCCTGGCCTCTGCTCAAACAGGTGAGCAGGTCCTTGCTCCATGGGGACACTCAGAGGGGACCAGGACATGGCCTTGCTCTCTCCAGGGTAGCCAGTGCATGGTTATCCTGGGGAGAGAACAGAAACAGCCCCAAGGAGAGCTTGGGGCACATCTGAGGAGAGGAGTTCATGTCTACAGTAACAATTTGTTGGCATGATTATACCCAATCATAATGCCATCCTGAATTATAGCTAAGGAAAAGGGATTCACTCCAAATGCCGAATTTATCGGCTTTCGGGTCTGGCTCACGCATAGAGTTCACTGTGTTACCTTTAGTGAGTCCTCTTCCCCTAGTAACAACAGCAACGTGATTCCTGCACATGCTGTCTTTTGGCTCTGTCTTTGTCTCTTCGGATGAGGTTAGGGTTCTGATACCCTCCCCGAGTCAACCACATGAGGGTGTGGACCTGTAGTCTCAGGAGATAGTCAAGTGCAATGGGACCCTGTTCTA